AGAACCACCTTAAATTACACACACAGCTCTGGCATGCATAAGAATATGATGTAAACTTGTTTTTTAAAAGGCATCTTCGGTTTGCGTTAAAACAACTTGCGTTACAACAACTTCAACACACGCAATGTTCTGATTGCACCACAAACGCAGTAGTCATCCTTCCCTTTCACAGAGGCACTGAGTTTTATAAATATGAGCATGATAGTGAAAATAATCATATCCAAGGACCAGTGGTGGGTTTCAAAAGAGTTTGGAACCTCTTCTGTAGGTGTGGCCTGCTTTCCGGGTCTACTGGTAGAACCTCTTCTAACCAGTTCGGTAGATTTGACGAACCGGTTCTACCGAATAGGTGCGAACTGGTAGGAGCCCACCTCTGATTCAGAGTCAGCTTCACAAAACTCAATTCAACGGGGCTGAAAGGAATTCTGAGGGTACATTCTTATTTCTTGGGTGGGTGTCAGTTTGCAAAGACTATAATGTGTTGTAAAATAGGACCATTGCAATAATTTCTGATGCTGAGGAGCATTTGTGCACCTTAGAAGTACAGGGCGTCCTCAGACTTTTTGGTAAACTTGTATATCTACTTAGCCCTCGCATTTCTTCTTTCTTGTATTTTCTCCAGCCCCTTCAAAGTGAAGGTTCTACCTACTCATGATGCTAGCAAGGTAAAGGCCAGTGGTCCCGGGCTAAACACTACAGGTGTTCCAGCCAGCTTGCCAGTTGAGTTTACAATTGACGCTAAGGACGCTGGAGAAGGCTTGTTGGCTGTACAGATCACGGTAAGTGGAAATAGGCCGCCGAGATGGGATGGCAGGTAGACCAAATGAATTCTTGATAGGGGTGATTGTGGATTGCTAGATGTGTGCACAACTGTATCCTTCAGGATGAGTAGCAGTTCTCGCTTATCAGTAGGCAGACAGCTGCATTCTGCACTGTGAGGTTTACTCAAAGTCCTGAGCTAAGGATCCTAAACTATAAAGTGATGAATCTAAGCTCTGCAAAGTCTTTGTTGGTCACTGTTGTATGATTAGTTAGTTAGTTAGTTAGTTAGTTAGTTAATTAGTTAGTTATGACCACAGCTCCTCCACAGTCACCATTTATTTATTTGTTTGTTTATTTATTTATTTATTACAAACTTATTTCTTCATCCCAAATAAGTGAATGAGTTTTTTTTTGTGTTGGTCTCTTTAAAAAGAACAGCTGGTTTTACTAGCAGTATCTAGTGATTGCAGGTTTGGGGTAACAGCCTAAACCAGGACTTCCCAAACACTTCCCGCCTCATCAGCCCCTTCAGATTGTTCATTGACTCCCAGACGTTTAGTCTATGAAAATAATGTAGTCAAATACTACTTTAAATAATAGTTCTATGGGTATACTAACAGTAATAATAACACGGGCTCTGACAGAATCATTATCAAACCATTGCAAAAGGCAGCTTTTACTTGGAAAAGTTTACATCCTGCAACAATACCTTTAATACTATCAAGGAACAACATCTCCCTATCCCAGATCCTTGGGGAAAACTTGATAAGTGGATAAAAATGTCAATTCCAGTCTAGATATCTGGTTAACTATGTGATCAACAACAACAACAACAACAATTTATAGTGATCCCAGTGATTATTGGCACAGTGGGAACCTGTTCTGACCCCCCTCGTCTCACACCAACACTCTCCGAGCCAAAGATAAGTTACGGCATTTAATTAACAGACAGACAGGTCCTTGGCAGCAAACCGGCACAGACAAGCTTGGGCAGCAATCCAACACAGATAAGCCGTAGCAGCAATCCAGCTTGCCAAGCTCACAATAATGTTCTCCAACATTAGTTCCAGTGTTGACTTCTGCAAAAGGGGCATGTGCACAA